GTGTTCACAGGGTTTGTGTCCTTTAGCCGTGTTCACAGGGTTTCTGTGTCCTTTAATCGAATTCACAGGGTTTCTATGTTCTTAGCCGTGTTCACAGGGTTTCTGTGTTCTTTAAATTCCTCGTATCGTATTCCTCATATCCTCGTATCGTATCCTCGTATCCTAAATCAAATTCCTCGTATCCTCGTATCGTATTCCTCATACTGCCTTGTTCAGATTCAGATCTTTATACCCACATCCTCATCTACTCTTATCTCGAAACCCTAAACACATCTTTTTTCTCTTATTCTTAAATCCTTCCGCTGCCATGGATATCTTTTCCCAACCTTCCAACCTGAATCTGAATCCAAATCCAAATCCAAATCCGAATCCGAATCCCAACCTTCCAACCTGAATCCGAATCCAAATCCAATTCCTACATCAAATTCATACATCAAATTCCTCAAATCAAATTCCTAAATCAAACGGTCGGTCGCCAGTGGAAAGCGACCGGCCCCCTCTTAGTTCTTCGAAAACGGAGAATCTGCTTTAAAACTACCAGTCGCCAGTGGAAAGCGACTGGTAGTCAAAGAAGTTATTTCAAACCGACCGGTTGCCAAAATCCAGCAACCGGTCACCATAGGAAAATGATCAGTTTTCTCCACGCTGTCAAAATCAGGAGGAGTAAATTGAACCGTCTTATGAGATTTTGCCTGTTTCAGCTCCAGTACCACACCAATCACCTGCTGAGGAAGTCATTTAGTGTGTCGGCTGACACACCCATTGAGATGAATCACAAGTTGTGTGAAGACATGCACCAAGAACCAACCAATAAGGAACAATATCAAACGCCTTGTTGGAAGGTTGATATACCTGGCACACACAAGACCAGATTGTGCATATGCTGTGAGTGTGGTTAGTCAGTTTATGCATTCACCCAGTGTTTCTCATATGAATGATGTTGATCGAATCTTAAGATACTTAAAGTCAGCCCTTGGAAATGTTTTAATGTTCTCAAAACATGAAGATCTTGAAGTTTTCGGATATACATATGCTGATTGGGCTAGGTCCATTACAGATAGATGCTCTACTTCTGATTACTTTACATTCTTGGGAGGTAACCTAGTCACTTGGCGAAGTAAAAAATAAAATTTGGTTTCTCGGTCTAGTGCTGAAGCAGAGTATCGAGGAATGGCTCATGGAATTTGTGAAGATTGTTGACAGAATTGGGTTTCAAGCCAGAAAAACCAATGGAGTTACATTGTGATAACAAGTCAGCCATCGATATTGCCCATAATCCAGTTCAACATGATCAAACTAAACATGTTGAGGTGGATAGACATTTTATCAAAGAAAAAATTGAGAAAAAGATCATCCGCCTACCATTCGTAAAATCAGAAGATCAACTGGCAGATGTCTTAACAAAAGCTGTTTGTGGAAGAGTATTTTATGACTCACTCACCAAGTTGGGCATTGGTGACGTATGTGCACCAACTTGAGGAGGAGTGTTAAAGTGAGTCTCCTAATTAATCAAGGAGATTTATTTCCTTGATTAATTAAGGGATTTACTTTCTTATTTTATAGATTTATTTCCTTAATTAATTAAGGGATTTACTTTCCTATTTTATATAGTTGTCAAATCATTGTATAATTAGGAGATACTTTCCTAATCCTTTACTATATCTAATTCCTTGTAAAGCACTCATGTAAACTCTTATATATACCTCCGTATGAAGAAGAATAAAATAAGAACCTAACATATTCAAAACCAAATATTCATATTTTAGCATAAATACCTTGGAACTGAAGTGGTCCCCAAATGTAGAAATTCCGACGAAAAGATTGATATTTATGAAAATATGAATAAAAACAATAGAAATTGTTAGAAAATTATGGAAACTTTGAATGAAATTTTGAGTCATGTTTATAAAACTAAATGTAAGTGAGATGCAATTTGAGCCATGCAAAATGCTAAAATCCAACGTTCTATAGTGTGTGTCGAAAAGTGTTAAAAAATGTACCCTCCCGACCCATTAATTAATGCATGAAAAATATGGAAATGAAATGATTATAGGAGTATGAAGGAAAAGAAATTAAAGTTTAAACAAAGATGAAATTCTTTACCGTCCAGCCTGAATTCGTACCAAAATCGTCCGTATAATGTTGGATTATCCTAAGAAATGTATAAGAATTGAGGAATTAATATTATCTTAAGATAAGAAGTGGTAATAAGGAAGGAGAGATAAGAATGAATGAAGACACTAATTGCAAGAAAAGGGAGATCATGATATATATCATAAAAGTGAAGTGATAGGTCCATTGAGAATGGAGATAGGAGATTATGAAATATATATATAAAAAAAATAAAAAGGGAGCAATTCTTACCGCTTTTCCCACATCTCCAACCTCATGCAAACATTGTGGTATTCGGTTTAGGGAATATGGTTTTCCTTGTTGACTTGTAGAAGATTGACTGTGTTTCATCCTAATGAAACAATGCCAGCTGAAAATCCAATAAAAGAATAAATAAGATTACAACTACAATAAATTAATGCAACATATATAATCCAGATTAATTTACCCATTAATTCTTGTTATCTTACTATTAAAAGTTTACTTCAATGTAAACTAAAAAGAAATAATATGAACATATATAATTAAGTACGTATATATATATATATATATAAAATTGTCAATGAGGTCTAGCTTTAGAGGAAAAATGACATTGACTTGCATACCGATGGTTTTAGGTTCAAACTCTCATAGCACATAATTAGTAATGTGTGTGTGAGAAACACCTTTTTTTTTTTTTTTTTTGGTAATTTAGAATATCGCTTGTATTCGCTTGTATTTTAAAAAAGTACATATAAATAATTAAAAAGTTAGTCATACGACATCTCGATTGAATACCTGTCAGTTCTCCACGGTTTTGCCAGTACTACATCAAGAAGTAACGATTGCAGCGGTGATTTATTCAAAATGTCCTTCTGGGAGCAGTCAAGTTGGCAAAATGCATAAATTTAATAGAGATGCATCAATTGCCTCCCAACCTAGTAAGTAACAGCAGAATCATACATGTACATGTTGTAATTAAAATGGAAATTTAAAAGCATATACTCATACTCATCTTTCCATGAAGAACAAAGACGTACAGGGGATGGTACATATATATGTCATGAAAATGGAAGAAAATAAAGTAGTAAATGTGGATTTTTCCCTTCAAACTAATGTTTTCTTATTTACAACTAACTGTTTTATTTTTCTATGAAGAAAACCCAATTTATTATAAGTAAAACTCGATAACTAGGATCTAACTCAGCAAATTACCTAATTAAGCTTAAAATTTGATTTATTGTACTTTTTATATTCCAAAAGTACCCCTAATTAGAATATACCCTATTATATGGTTGTATTAATTGTTAGTTCCTTAATTTATTGTGTTGATTTCATTCCTCTTAAATTTGAAATTTATTACAAATTTGACTAACCACACATTGTTTTAAATTTCAAAATGTTTGGCACATGAGAAAAACTTGCCTGGCACGGGGATGCCAAGTTAAGCTTTCCATCTCAGTGTACCTAGCCAATTACTTCCTGACAGCTGGATACCAC